GCTGAATGATCTCTCACAGCTGGCGATGGAAACTGCGATGGTTAGCATTATCGGAATAGCAATGCGAAGATTGGGGAAGACGCTCTCATCTCCATACTGAACAATAAATTCGAGAAGCTCTTCAGGTCTTGATATTTTCATGTTAGTCCGACGTGATAGCAACATTCTGCAATCCAAAATTTCTTCATATAGCTGCTGTCCACTTGACTTTCTCTTCGGCTTGTGACGCATTTGTATTTGATCCACCTTCGGATTCTAACAAACTTGTAGCTGGTGCAGGCGACTCCATGGAACTTGTTCTGGGCTTTTCAAAGAAGTGCATGAATAACTTGCTCGACTTCTTGGCTTCCTCTGCCTCCAACTTTCGTCTCTTCCGTTCTTCAGCTCAACTTTCCTTTTTCTTCATGAAGAAACGTTTCATAGTCTTCTTACACAATGCTATGAAATAAGGAAATGGCACTTTTAATAATAACATTAAATCTCATAGATTTTGCACACAATTCTGGACTACCTCCCTAGTTTGCGCAGGAAAGTGGTCTTACTGCCAGTTGGCACTGAGCAGCGGTACTATGAGGTATGTGGTCATGTTGCTCCCAGCACTGTATTTTTACCTAATAATTTATATAAGTGGTTTAACAATCCGGCCATCCTAGTACTTCTCACCCATGATAATTAAAGACAGATAATACATCTGAAGAAAATTCTTTTTTCACTATTCGAGGATGGCTTGTCTGACTTTAATAGAAACTGCTCAATGGCGCCCTCTTCAAGTGGCGCCCAGGGTACGTGCCATACCTTAGGTACGCCACTGATTACAACCTCATACCGACACTTCGAGGAGCTGCGATTCTTAGTTTCACCAACCATCAAATCTGCTAGCTTTTAATGTTCCCTAGGTTCCTAATTTACTTATTGAAGTTTAACCATGTCATTCACGTGAAATACTTTTTATATTTATTAGAGAAGTGTTTTGATTGTTCTACTGCTGACGTCATCATGTTAGTTGGAACGTCACTTTAATAATAATGTATTTTCATGTCAATAACGTCGGTAGTCTCAATTCATCCGAAAGTTACACTTGATTGTGAAATATATATATATATAATACTCTGTTTATTCAGTTATAAACAATTTTTCAAGTATATCACAGAGTATTTTCTCCTATTATTTATTAACTTCCTTACAGTTTACAAACTTCTTTAAGTCATTCTTTTTTCTAATCAAACTTGACAGGTAGATAGGAAACAACAAATCAATAACGATAATAGCGTTTTTCTTCTATTCAACGACAATTACCATTCAACTTCACAGGTTTTGTGACTTATCTGTTCACCTTGCGTTATTCACATTTGTGAATAGAAAGTCACGTGAAAACAATCAGTTTGTTCTTGTCTTACAAAACAAGGAAATAATGGATTGTTCTCGAACAGGTCTAATATTTTTGATGAAAGAAACTCAGACTACATTGCACTTTTAATTTGTACATCACGAATTGCAAACCTATACTTTGTCTAACACATGTCAATGCCCAGTAGGCATTCGTCAGCTGGGTAGGACGATGAGAGACAAAAGTCCATATTAATGATTAGTGTAACTATAGTGTAATGGTAAATCCTCTTTTCGTTGTTTTGAAAAGAGTTGCCTTTCCTCTAGTCTATCACTTCTAAATTAGGGACGGCTAGTGCAAATAGCTTTGTTGCTGTAATTTTTTGTAAGAGGGTTGTAATTTTCCCACATAATCTGAATGTCTGTTCTGTTTACTAGACAGTATCTGAAACTATGATGGCCGAACTTAAAGAGTCTTTCATGGAAGCTTATGACGACAACAAAGATGGAAAAATTGAAATTAGAGAGGTAAGCATAAATATTTATTCCTAATTCGGATTTTTTTCAGTGGCACAGCGGTATGTCTGCGGACTTACAACGCTAGAAACCTGGTTTCG